GTTCGAAATACTTTGTACAATTGTTTTAAAAATAGTTTAAGTATAAAACACAATTTTACACTTTAGTAAGGATTAAAATGAACTTTGAAAGACTTGGAGTAATATTTTGATATTCGAATAATTACATCGAATATACTTAGAAAATCTTTTGTAAAATCTTAAAATTCATTTAACTTAATTTGTTATATCGAAACATAAAAATATTTTCAACAGTACTAACGACAGTGTAACAGCGTCATGTAACACCCATAACCCGTATAATTATACTTATACAGATTATAGATGTCACCCGATATTTCAAAAACCATTTCATCTTCAAAAGTGATTTAAATTTTATTTTTCTTAAAATGGTAAATGATATTATAAAAATATCATATCATATGAATTATATTTCTTTATAACAAATTTAAAACAAAATATGAATTATATTTATTTATAACAGTGTATCGATGCACTGCTATAGTACGTGAACAGTGTATCGATGCACTGCTACAGTAATTTCCGAAAATACATATAAATTCATAAAAAATTATCCCTTCATCAATATAAAGATTACCATTTTGTTTCTAAATTAGTTCAACAAAACAAATAGAACATTATTAATTACATGCCACTATCTAAGTCAAATTCCATCATAGGATGTCTTACTGATATTGAAACATACTCCTCGATGCTTGATGTCACTTTGAACTCTTTATTCCACTACTGACTTTTTATCTATGCGTGAAAATCATCACACGCTAAGTATAAACTTAGTGAAGCAATTTAAAACAATAATCAGTGCAATACAATTCATACATGAATTTCAATGTCAAATTCAAAATGCTATAAAATCATGTTATTTGCATATCCAATATTTTACCATGATCAAAATAATATAACATTTCTTATCAATAAATTTACCATTTATCCCATAAGCTCATAAGCTTATTTTATCAATACACTTACCATTATTCCATAAGCTCGAAAGCTTATTTTACCAATATACTTGCCATTAACCTTATTTATCAATCATTATTGGAATCCATACATTCCATAGGAAATTCATACAATTCATGTAATTTCCTTTTAATATTAGCACTCTCAGTGCTCTATCTGGAAAATTATACGCTTAGTATGCTTCCCCTTTCATTTTAGCACACGAAATGCCCTATTCAAAAATTCATACCATTAGTATGATTTTGTTATCATTTTAGCACATGAAATGCCCTATGTGAAAATCCATACCATTAGTATGATTTCCTTATCTTTGTAGCACCCTTAGTGCTTTATCTGGAAATCCATACACTCAATATGATTCCCTTACCATTTTAGCACATAAAATGCCCTATCTGAAAATCCATATTTTCAATATGATTTCCTTATCTTTGTAGCACCTTTAGTGCTTTATCTGAAAATCCATACACTCAATATGATTCCCTTACCATTTTAGTACATAAAATGCCCTATCTGGAAATCCATATTTTCAATATGATTTCCTTATCATTTAGCACACTCAGTGCTCCATATGGAAATCTATACACTCAGTATGATTTCCTTATCATTTTAGCACACACAGTGTCATTTGGTAATCACTATACACACATCAATAAATTATATTATTTTAACTATTACCACATGTATATACATAATTAAATGCACTCACCTTGACACTTTATAATTTCCAAAATATGAGCCTCACTATTATCCACAATAACTCTTTTCTTTTATACTCGAATCGTTTTGAACACCAAGTAAATCACGATCTGTACAAAATATAGATTCATATCCACATATATATATGTTAGTATTGTACTAACATAAATACATTTCCAAAATAAATTCCATAATCATACTTGAAACTCATTTTCTATCAAAATACTCAATACTTAATAATTCATTTTAACATTGGAACCAAGTTTTCCAATTTACACAAAATGGTCATTCACTATTTTACCACTTGAATTCTTAATACCAATAATTCCAACATTGAAATTATTTCCATTCAAATGCTTTTACAAAAGCATAATTACATTTAAGTACCCCAACTATACAAATGTTGTACTTAAATCACAAACCTTTTCAAACTTCCCAAAATAGTCATTTTTCACATTTAACACTCATTTCAATTCCCAAACAACAATTTCCAGCATAGTACATCAATTATACAACACTTACACAACAACCCATCAATTTTCCAAAATTAACGAATTGATCTCTCAACTTTTCAAAATTTACGAAATAGTCCCCAATTTTTCTAAGACTTGTAAAGTACTTCCTTCATCATTTCTAACCCATATATAATTTTTCCATAATTTTTCTCACTCAAACAATCCATGGCCAAAACTTAAAGAACAAGTTCTAGAAAGATTAAACATGTTCTAATCATCACACATGCTTAAATATGAATCTACTACCTCACAAACATCAAGATCCATCATCAATTTCGTGATCCCTTATATGAATACAAACCCTTAGATTTGGGATCTTTGAACACCAACAAGATTATCATACAATATTGGTACCAAAAGATAGCGTTTTTCTCATATAACAATTTTCTTTTTACAACTTACTCAAAATCCTAAGTAAATTGCTTGAAAATTGAGTTGAAGTTTTCTCTCACCTTTGAAGAACACCCACGGTAGCTTAGAGAAGAAGAAGCTGAAATGTTCCCCCATTATTGTTATTCTAATGTTAATTAGATCTAGCATATGCTTAATATAATATTATAATGGAATTATTTTATTCCATTTAATAAGAAATTCCATTTTTGCTCTTAATGAATCTTCATATTCACCATAAAACCAAGTCACCTAATCCATATCATATTACAAAGTCAAATATGAACTAATTTGACTTTTATTTCCGAAATTTCCCTTGAATTTTCAAAAATTGCGTTTTAGTCACTAAATTCCACTATTTCGATTAAATATGAAAAATTGCAAAATTCCAAACCAAATTTCTCTGATCTAAAATATTAAAATAATACTTCCAACCATTTTAGAACATCCTTCAAATTTTTGTAAAATTCCAATTCAATCTGAATTACCGATTCCTTATTGGACTTTAACCCTTTCTAATTTTTCTTTACTAAAATTCCAAATCCAACAATATAATAAATTTCTATGAAACCCCACTCTCAAGAGTAAACTATCTATTTACGGAATAAAATTCTTTTTAAGAAATTATCACTTAATTCCCTAAACTTTTTCCCAATTTTCTACTTTGACCATCAAACTTTCCAAATTTTCATTTTGGTCATTGTCTAAATTTTGGGGGTATTACACGTCAAACGACCAGTTACGTCAGAGACCATATTGCAAACGAACTAAATGTTGGAAGATTGTATTACAAGTTTTAAAAGTTGAGGGACCTAAATGAAAGCTTAAGAAAAGTTTAATGGCCATTACTATACTTTACCCTTATTTTATTTCCAGTTTTATATCCCATCCCTCCATTTTTCATCCAACCAAACAAAGTCTTGAGCTTTATAGGGTGGAAATAAATTTAGAATTACAAAGTGAGAGAAAATTAGAAAGATAAAATATTAACATTTTTATTTCATCGTGTGATTATTTCTTCTCGAATTAGTTGTCGCGGAATGATTTCAATAACAACAATAATATGGGTAAACTACTTATATGGTCACATACATATTATTTAGTTTCTATTTTGCTTACCTAATTTATTTTTCAAAATCCTATTTAATGTTACGTTTTGATTCTATTTTACTTTCTGGTCGTTAAAATATTAACAATGGTATTCACATGTTACTATAAGGTAATGTCAAGTTAGCATTGGAAAAAAATGATATGTCAACAACACCGTTAATTTTGTTAACAATGAGTGACCAAAACGTAACAACATTTATGACTTAAAAAATTAATTGGAAGAACAAAATAGAAACTAAATAATAAGTAGGTGACCAAATAAATAATTGACTTAATTATAAAATAAGTGTTCAAGCTATATCGGTTTTCCAAAGTAAGTGCCCAATTTTTTTTGAATCATCTAGGTGTCTAACGTTACAAACGTTATAATTAAAGGTCTAAAGAGTTAGAGTTTTTTTTCTGATATTTAAAAAAAAAGAATAGTTTTTAAATAATAATAATAATTTTAAATTTTTTATTTTAAATAAAGTTCTCAAAACCATTAGAATGTTACATGTGTCATTTAACAGAAAATTCTAATAACTATTATGGTTCAGACACAAAAAATAGTAACGTTTGTAATATTAGGTACTAAATGATTCAAAAAAAATGTTTAGGTGCCTATTTGTGAAAAACGATAAAATTTGGACACTTGTTTTATAATTAAACTTAAATAATTTACCCTAATAATAATGCAGAAAACGGAAACTTCCACTGATTCAAGTGAGAAGAAATCAAAAGAAAAGTTGTACACAATTTTATTTGACATTTTCTCAGGTAAAAAATATGACCTTATTGTTCAAGAAAATGGATTAGAGTATAGTCGACCAAGATATATCTAAGAAATTTCAGACCCGAATACGATCAGGATCCGACGTGAGATTATATATTAGGAGCGAGTTTATAAAATTTTAAGAGAGACAAAAACAAATTATCGACAAAAAATACAAAAAAAATACTTAAGTTATATGAGTATTTAAAATTTTCAAGGATGATCGTAAAGTTTCCCTCGTCCATCCCTGATTGTGATAAGGGTAAAGTTTCCCTACATATATCCATTCAGTCTTTCTCCACTCAGTGTGGATCTCTTCTGCATGCTGGCTTCAAAGTGTTGAATGGCAGGTTTATAAATGATATAGATAAACTGGAAAAGGTGATATTTTCAGTAGAGGGAAAAAGAGAACAACAAATCATCCAAATGTCACACCTCGAATTTAGGGTTAAAGCAATAGAATACTTGTTTAAAGTTTCAGCAATGTGAAGGGTAAAAACATATTTTTCATGCATAAACAGCCATTGAAATCATCATGCTAAAGAAAATTCAGGGCAAACAAGTAGTACAAACGTCTAACAAGCACCTACAGAGATGGATCACTCATCTGTTTCATTTGGGAATTCCAAGCTCACAGCCACCCATTTATCCTCACTGATGGGCACCACGGTGATGCCTTGTGGAAATGCGATGTCAGGGTAGCATGGATAAACCCTGAACCTGTTGTTGAGTAGATAGCTCCTCGATCCCCGAATTTCCTCCGTTTTCGAGTCCGAAATCGAGAGACAGGAGATGTCGAAATATGTTGATTCATAAGAGATTGAATTCGAGCCCTCTTTGTCTCCCTTTTTCACTTCTCGCACTGCATCTACCAGGCAAGGGTAAGCCACAAGTACGAGTTTAAAGTATTTAAGTAAAAAGTGTGGTTTGGAAATGAATAAATAGAATAATATTGGAACAAGGTGAAATATTTACCTTCTTTAGCATGTTCTTCATTTTCTACAGCAGGGGTCAAGTCTGAACCGGAAGCAGATTTGAGAGTTTCCCCTTTTAAGCCTGAAATTGGAAAAAATAATCAGCAGGAGACGTGTAGTGGCAAGTGATTTCTTAGTTTCCACTTGGCTGAGCAAATTTCAACTCGAAAAAACTGAATTCGACGTTAAGAAATTTGATTCTACTTATAATTTCATAAATTCATCTCAAAAAAATTAAAAAAAAAATTTGAGTTATACAATAAGACTCGAATAACTCGAAATCTTTAACAATTAATGGATTGATTTTCAAGTTCAAGGTTGAGTTCATCAACTCAACATGATATATGTATATCACATATAAAAAAATACAAAGAAATATATATGTATATTGTATATGATTATAGAAAACAATTTAAATTGAAATCAATAGTACTAAACTAACTGAACATTTTTTTTACTTGACACAATATTAAACAAATTCGAAAATAAAATAAAAATTAATCAAAACAAAGAAAAGATGGGAGAATGTTTTACGCTGGATTAGATTGGTATAAGCAAGTTTAGCAGCGTTGATCTCGGCTTCCCTTTTGGATTTCCCTCCTTTCCCATGAAAAACATGTCCTTCCGCTTGGACGGTAGAGAAAAACTTCGGCCTATGAGGCTCACCACATTGAGTTGTCTTATACTCTGGTAAACTCCATTCTTCTCTCTGAGTCAACTCTTGCAACAGATTCTTGTACATTCCCAAATCAGCCTGTTAAAAATTAAAAAAGAATACCCATTTTGTTAATCTAAACCATGAAATAAAGGGAAGAACAGGAGGATACCTCTTGAACAGGATTTGCAGCAGCAAGGGAATAAGAGGAAGAGGAAGTGAAGTGAAGCAAAGCGGACTTAGCGGCGTCGTTTTGAGCTTCTTTACAAGATTTGAAAGGGACGGACGAGTGAAACGAGGTGCCGTTGAGGAAGACGGAGGATTTGAAGCAAGGATTGTGATCAGGGCCATCTTTCATGGAGGTGTACCTTGGCAATGCCCATTGCCTTTGATGGCAAAGCTCCTGCAACTTCGACTTGTACATTTTCTTTTCTTTTCTTTTGCACGGAGAAGTGAAGGAAATGAAAAGATTGTGAAGAATGATAAAAATTGTGAATCTTTTATTAGAAAAAGTCGCAGATGAAACAGTGAAATTCTACCTGAGACAGCTTTAATAATTAAGGAAATGTGCTACTAATTTTTTTATTATTTTTTTAATATTTTTAATAAAAAAATTACCTAAATCATTATTATTTCTACTTAAAAACATTAATATTTTTTTACATTTTACGTAAAGTACCCAATAATAATAAAATCGGTAAAAAAAATAATGTTTTAGGTAGCGCTTTACCGAATATATTAACAAAATCGGTAAAGCGCCCAATAATAACAAAAGCGGTAGAAATAATAATGTTTTAGGTAATTTTTTTACCGGAAATTTTAAAAAAATAATAACAAAACCGGTAGCGCCTTTCCTTAGCCGTATATTAAAGTTGTTGCACGTGAGACTTCCCCGATGAAATGGCAACCGCGAGACGGTTGATCTGTTTCTTGTGTGTACTTTCTATTTTTCTTATAAAAGATATATATGATCTCCGATTAAAAGTTATAAAATAATACTTATAGAGATTCAAATAATGATTGGGTAGCAAAAACGTGTTTGTTGCAACATCTGAGACTGCTATTATGAAAACAATTGGTGTAAAGTTAAATCACACCAATAGCGATATATCGTGGTCGTAATTTAACGGGTAATGTCCAATTGCAATAATCTGGGTTGCTATTTCGATATTGTTACATTATTTTATTTAAAAAAATTATTATTTTTTTCTTTAGAAAAAATTCAAATCATTTAGAAAAAATTCACAATTGCAATACCTGTAATAACATTTGTTATATCTGCTACCATGATAAACGCGGTCGCAACCGTAATTTAAATTTCTTCCCCTAACTATAGGATGTTATTTTTTATCGACTATTAAAAGTTACAAAATGGTTACTCGACTATTCATATATTCCGAACTCATCATTTTTCATTAAAAAATTATTGACTGTCTAAGTTGAAAGTTAACTTACTGATAAAATTATATTTTAATGATGTCTATTGGCATCATTGTTGCTTTAAAGGACTGGCTTAAAGATGTAATATTTAAAGCACTGTCTTGACAACATAATGTAAATGAAGAGTCGATCACAATATACAACTCAAACGATTCTGAAATAAGATTTTGTCATATCTCAAATAACAAGTTTACTTCTAACTTATATGACCATCACTTTTTTTAATTGAAAATGACGAGTTTGGAACATATGAATAGTCGAGTGAACATTTTGCAACTTTTAATAGTAGGGGGACTCAACAAAGCAGCGCCTTATAGTCGTGGGATCATAGACAAACGTAAGATCTTACGTTAGGGGTGTGAAATTTTAAAATTTTAAGAAGTGATGAACTTATAAAATTTCAGGGACATATTATCAATTGATATACAAAGAAAATATCTAAAATATACACTAATGAAAAATTTTAAAGATGGACGACTGCCCCTTTCTGTTCATCCTTATATAGGATCATTTTGTAACTTTTAATAATCATGAGACTCAACAAAATAACGTCCTATAATCAAATATCATTTCATTTTTTTGTAACTTTACCCTTATGTTTTTTGAAAGGCTTATTTTACAGCTTCCACATTGAATTTGTAAATAATGCCAAAATATTTACTACCGTTTCATTAAATAGATTTTATTCTTTCTTTTGGAGTAATTTAATTTTAATCTTTCATTTTGAGATAAAATAATTTATGGTTAGATAAAAATTGTTAGTTAACTAACAACAAATGCTTATTGGTTATTGTTAATGTGATAAATTTTATATGTCCAAAGTATTCAGGTGGCACAAACTACATGTTCAAAGTGATAATGTGTCACATACCACGTGTTTAAAAGTTATGATATAACATCACTACATGTATAAAAATGGCGATGTAGCATTACCATGTGTTTAAAGTGATAATGTGATGTTACCACGTATCTAAAATAATGACATATAATATATCATATCATTACTTTGGACATATATGACTTGACACATTAATAACAATCATTAATCATTGGTCAACTAACGTTTTCTATCCAACCAAGGGACATTTTGCCTCAAAATGAAACCGTAAGGATCAAAGTAGTTCAAAAAAATATGACAAAAAATAATTATTGTATTGAATGTTAGAAATAAATTTTGACCTTGTATCTAAAAAAATAAGTTTCAACTTAGTGTAATCTTTCCCTAACATCATTTTAAATTTTAAAATAATAAAAATTCATAACTTGAATTTTTAATATATATTTTTAAGTTAAAATAAGAATGATATATATATATATATATATATATATTAAATTAATAATATATTTTATATATAACATATTGTATATTTAGCAATAAATAATGGTATCGGGTCAATGATTGGACATTTGTTTGGTTATCGAAACAACTAAGTTTGATTTTCTTTATTCTAATTAAATTGTAACACGTGTCATGATTAAATTTATTTTAATTTATTAAAATTAAGATTAAATTGATTGAATATCTAACTAGCAATGACCAATGTGTAATTATAAAAAGTTAACTACCACATTACCTTCTCCTTTGAATATTAGTGGCAGGAGAATTGATTGTCACTCTTAAATAATTAAGTGATCTAATTAAGAATATTTCAAAATCAGTGATCGTAATGAAAAAGAACAATAATTATGTGGTCATATGAATAGTTTATCCAATTTTAAATATGTGCACATTAAGTTGGATCAAAATTCAAAATTACGCGCGCACAGTAACAAAAGTTTAGCAATGAATTTGTTCTGTTTTATTACTTCATTCAAAATACGAAATTTACATCCATGCCATGCGATGCAAGTGAATCTATCCACCGCCAGCACATGGCTTTAATTTTATGGTTAACGGTCAGATTGTTTCATTCACTGTGTATAAGTACTTTGAATCTCCTCTGAGCTTTCAATCAATCTGCTCCCTTTTTTTGTTTCTTGATTTTGTTGGGTCACAAGCAATCTTACTCTGATGGTGGTCAACCCGATTCTGTAACTGCGACGGATGAAAACGAAGAGGTTTTGAAGGAGGGTAAAGCTGATTGGGAAGACAAAACATTGTTTATGACATTCTCGAGGGGACATCCGGTTTCAAACAAGGAAATCAAAGGTTTCATTGTGGGTAAATTCGGGAGTTGTGTGGAGGCAATCCATATGGATAAAAACCCAAAGCAGCGTTTGTTCGCCTGTGTTGTTCTAAGGTCGCACTCAGACATGTCCAGGATTCTTGGGGGTAACAAATCATTGAAACTCTTCATTAATGGCAAACAAGTTAGGGCTCGAAGATTTGTCCCCAAAACTAGTTTTCTTATGAAAAGAGGTTAGCTGCATTCATTGCTATGTTATTGCAGTAATTAGTGGTACGTAGTCATTAGACAATGATTCATGACAAGATCAAAAACATTCTTAGTTTACAGTTTTCTGTGTTCCATATTCCGAGGTTGTAATGCTTGTTTCTCAATGTTCATCTGTTTCTTTTGCACTGCAATGACTTTTTGACACTCAAACGGCACATTGTTCACATCAAACATGAATGCTTAGTCTTTCTTAATCGGTAAACCATCGAATTATAACTTATTTTAAGCTCGATAGAACATAAGTGACTATGGATGCTCTAGTCCCTACAACATTCTAAAATCGGAGCCAAAATGGTCATACTCTCCAACATTGCCAAAGACCAACTACACACGTACCTCCAACAGTGCCAAAATGATTCATACACGAACTCGTACATGAGCTGAAATGGATTCTATGGCATGCAGCATATATCTGACACTCAACTTGATTTCGAAGGGTAAAATAATATCATGTTTAAGCTTACTTACATATCAAGTCACATATCAAATTCAGAAAGGAAAAGAATGTTTCAAGTTGTAGTATTTACATGACAGATTAACATATGGAGCTTCATATTCTTCATTCTCTTTAACTTGGGACTGCTATCAAGGCTGACCTGCAGTTTTCCGGGAAAGTGATAGGAAATTGCACCGATTCTCAGCTAATTCCAGGGAGTGGAATACCTAACAAAGAAATCCCAACGTTTAAGAACTCATTAACGATGGGGCTCTGAAGTGTGAACCAGATCATGGATGGTAGTTGGACGACAGATGTTGGAGAAAGTTCTTGACCCGACCATGTCGACTCAGCCAGCAACGAGTTAACTCGTGGTGTAGGGTTATACAGATCCCACCAGACATTCGATGAAACAGGGTTGCAGGCTATATCTGAAGTGATGCACCCAATCTCTGTACCATACAAACCAAGCCCACAGAAAGCATTCTTTGCATCCTCAAACCCTGTTTTTAAAGAGAAAAAACATCAGATACATCAAGAAATGATCACCCAAAACAGGGATTTAAATAGCGATCCGCGGTAGCGGTGCCGTTCGAAACTGTCATTGCATGACAGCGATACCTGCAATCATCGTAATAATGTGACAGCAACATCAATTTAAATATCTGATCCAAAATAGCAAGGATTCATACCAAAAATATGTGGAAAAGATAGGATCTTGTTGAGTCCTTGGTAAAGATCACAGAAGACAATATGTGCATCGGGCAACTCATCGTTGAGCCTAAGAACGCTGTCTTCAAGCAGTACATTATACTTCAAAATCACTTCATTTATCTCCTGAACACAACCCATTGTTGAATTTCCATCATCAGTTTGCCATTGGAAGAATGAACTTGGGGAACATCCCAAAGGCAATACCCCATCACCACAACTTTCCTCACGTTCATATCATACAAGTTCATCATGGCATGCACCATTTCGTTAACCAAAATCTCAGCAAATAAATGGTCGTTGTAATGAGCCATTACGCCCGAAAAATTGCGAAGAAAGAGATCGATGTAGTCATCTTTGCCGAACGAGAGGTAGAATAATGACGATCTGATGAACCAGCGAGAGCTTTCGTGACCGAGTTGAAGTTGCAATAGTTGAACCGACTCGAACACTTGCCTCAGCTGG